TTCATGTCATGCAACATAAGCCCCTGGCTAAATTCCATTTTATCTACTACTTTTCTATTTCTCGTTTTAGTCCCAGTACGCCAATTAAAAGATGAATAAAGCCCTGTTATAGGGTATTCTCGTTCTGACTCCTGCATCCATATTTGTTCGTCCTCTCCATCTCGTGTGCTTGCTACGGTCCTAGCTACAACAATTTATTCATCTTACAATTCCGAAATGGATCGATTCCTTAGGCCAGAACGATTCGATGCTGATCCAAATGCTCAAGACGCTTCTAAAGAATGGAGTCATTGGTTTCGCACTTTTGAAAATTTCTTGTCCACGATCGATAACCTGAAACCGGATAAATTAAACGTTCTGACTAACTACGTTTCTCCGACAATCCGGGAATGCATTAGTGAATGCTCCAGTTATAAAGAAGCTATTAAATTGCTGCAAGGTCCCTACCTACGGCCTAAAAACGAAATTTTCGCCCGTCATCTTGTGGCAACCTACAGACAGGAAGGCGGACAAACCCTCGACCAGTTTGCTCAAAAGCTAAAATCCTTAGCTGAGGACTGTGATTTCAAAGCCGTTACGGCAGAACAAAATTGCGACGCTGCCATTAGAGATGCGTTTATCAGTGGCCTTTCATCGAACCAGATGGACGGTATGCTTTGATACGTGCCGTTTACTTGCAAGTGAATAGAACTCAGCTGCAGTTGTCCTCACCTGTTCATCTAAATTGCTAAGAACGCCCAAACACAGTTAGATTACGTTGTGCACTTACGCCCCAAGTACGCGCTGTCTGTGCTACAATCGAATCCTCATGCATTCCTCGTCTGGGTCCCTGTCATTCCTTTTGCCGACAGAACATATGGCTTGACAGTCTAACATTTTCTGGCATCTTAGCCTGGCTGCCTAACATATCCTCCAGCATATGGGAAGCAGGTATTTGGGATGAACGGGCTGTCCAGTGTGGCAGATTTTTAAATCTATTACTCGTGGGACAGCTGCCCCGTGCTTAGGGGTCAGCGCCTAGCCTTTTGGGTCCATGGAAATTTGCCTTACTGATATTCCAGCACAGCCTGACTACAAGACCATAGAAGACCCCCTATACTTTTCCGTATGGCGTTCAGGCGTACGCCACAATGAACATGACGTTGCCAGCGGGAGCAGACACTCGGAAATACTACCTTTGGTGAAACCGGCTCTCAGCATAGGAGTGACGTCCCGTCCTGCTCACCTGGTCGATTAAAACCATTTCGATCAGAACTCACAGTAGTACGGCTGTAGAAGGACTGAAAGCATTCACTACGCCTCGCTCCGTGACACTGGATTAGCCATGGCCTCGCGAGCATGCCTCGGACGGCTAGGTTATGCGTTAACCATGTCTTTCCAATGTTCGCTTTGACAGACTCTTTTTAGTGATGAAAATAACAATCCTCATCTTCCAGCAAGTAATCGACACCTCCTGTGATCGACCTTACTGGACGCTTATCGTGCCGCGATCTACCTGTTCCGAGGTCCGTTCCCCTTGTTGTAAGATGGCGTTGGTGACACTCAGTGCAAAGGCCTGTCAGGGCCACGCCTAACGTTAGCCCTTCGGACTTGCTCAGTGGTCAGTCCCCTATCTATTATGACTGTTTAATTGTTGCAGGCGAGGCAACCTTAGAGACGAAGTTTTCCGGCGGTACATTTTCTTTACTTAACCAGTTATTTTTCTCTTGATATTAAAGATCTTTTATATCGGGTTTTGCAGGAGAAATGCTGGCCAGCGAATTTGAGGTGCATGATCCGCTCCGATTCGTCCCCTCTCGACTGAGCACTTTCAAAGGCTGGCCCTTTTCTGGTCAGGTCAACTGTCGGCCGGAGAAACTTGCCGAGGCCGGCTTCCTTCAT